AGTTCTCGTGATTATTACGTTTCGAATTTCGACCCTAACATGAATGATGTTGATTCTTGGTTTGAGGAGGTAGACAGAACACAAATCCTTAACAAATGGTGTGACGCTGAGTGCTTGTCGCGCATTGGACACTGTCTTAAGGGTAATGCTAAGTCATGGTTAGATGATTGGGTCACGACGGTCCGATCATGGAGCAACTTTAAAAAAGATTTTAGGTCTTTATGCGTGAACAAGATTGATGTGGCGAATATTTTGTATGAAGTGATGAGTACGAGTTCCGACGATTATGCAACGTATGCTGAATACGCGCGTAGATCTTTATTGCGTTTGAAAATAGTGAAGGGACTGAGTGATGAGCTTATTAGTGCGATCGTCACACATGGTATTAATGACCCGCATATTAAGGCGTCTGCTACGAATTGTAACCTGAAGTCCAGTGAATTAGTAAATTATCTATCTACTTTCCTTAATCCAGGGCTTAATAAACCCGAAAAGCCTTCTAGTTCTGACCACGGTATTAGTTAAGGATTTGTTAAACCGCATATTGGCAAACGGTATTTATCAAGCATTCCGATTAAATGTTTTTCATGTGGACTGATGGGTCACAAACAAGTTAACTGTCGCTCCAAGCACAGACTATCAGTAAATACGAATCAAGTACCCTCCAATAGTACGTCTGTAATACCGTCTACTAGTGTAAAGCCAACTAATAGTGAGATAAAACTGGAATCGAAAACTACCTGCGTGTATTGTAAAAAGATAGGTCATGATATTATGGATTGTTTTGCTAAGTAAAGATCTGATCAGAGGAGAGCGAACGTAAATTTTTGCTCATTGCCTAAATTGAATAATTCTAATTCAATTCAATTCAATTCAATTTATTTGCGATAATATGGGTTATACAAAAAGAAAAACAGGTGGAAAAGATACAGCTAGTTTCACCATATTAAGCCGAATGTCACAGCATGTAAAAATTAACAATAATTAAATAATAGCCATTAATTATAACAAAATAATATCCAGTAGTGACATTGTTCTAAATAATAATACAGTTCTAAAGTCAAATAATACAAAGTAAACAAATAATAATAACTACAAATTATAATATGTCAAATTAATACGTCAAAATTTCTGTACTGATGTATGTCAAAGGAAGATGGAAATAGTGCATTATTTACATCATTCTACATATTATCTTCCATGTATTCTGTTACCGAATAATAAGTTTTACCAACTAGAATAGCATGTAACTTTTCTTAAATAAAATTAAGTTATTTTCATTTTTCAAATCTGATGGTATCTTATTATATATTTTTGGGCCCATGCAGAATATACTTTTATGAAGTAGTTCAGTTTTAGATGGTCTAATGCATAATTTGTTAATATGACGTTGCCTTGTACGGTGTTCAAATAAATGTAAATTACACTTAATAAATATAGCTGTTTCGAATACATATAAACAAGGTAAAGTTAGAATATTTAGCTTTCTAAATAAAGGTTTACATGAATCTGTTTGCTTAAGATAGGAAATAGCTCTAATACACCGTTTTTGTGCTCTGAACACACAGTCTGCATTGGTGGAGTTACCCCACAGTATAACACCGTAGCGAAGAGTAGACGATACATATCCGTTGTACGATGTTAAGGCAGTATAAATGTCGACAACTTTAATGAGGTTTCTTAAAGCAAACGAATAACTATTTAATTTTTTACATACATGCTCTGTATGCTGCTTCCATGACATTTTATTGTCTAAGTAAATTCCTAGAAATTTCGTGCTCTGTACCTCTTCTATTACTTGCTCTTTATATTTGATATTTATTTTTTGTGGTGATTGCCTATGCCTAAAATGTATAGATTTGGTTTTATCGAGATTGATTATTAAAGAAGATTAGTGTTCTAGAGATGTTATGGTGGGAATCATTCAGAGAATTCCCATTGACGTCTTTATAGATAGTGGCGCGTTAGACTTTTCACTTATCTCCACTTCTGTCGTGAGTTATTTTTCGTGTTCTTCAAAACCCACTTATCGCGAGTTAAAAGGTGTTGGTCATACTATCACTCGAGTGATCTCTTACGCAACGCTTACCATAGAGTTTGAAGAAATCACTCTTGAGGTTGATTTATTGGTTGTGCCCAGTGAAAGTATGAATGCACCTATCATAATCGGTACAGATGTTTTAAATCGTGAGGGGGTAACATATATACGTACTAAGGGTTGTCAACGATTAATTTACAATTCGGTCCCGATAAAAGTTTCAACGCTTGTAGGAAATGACCGCAAAAGACTTTTGGAGATTTTAAATCAGTTTTCAAAGTTTATGATTACTGGACTGGCTACTTCAAGCGTGACGACTGGTAGCATGCACATCCGTTTAAACAGTGATGCACCGATACATTACAGGCCCTACCGATTATCTTTTAATGAAAAGTTGAAGGTTCGTGAAATTATTGTAGATCTTTTATCTAAAAGAATAATACGTGAATCGGAGTCTGCGTACGCGAGCCCTATACTCTTGATAAAAAAAAAAGACGGTACAGATCGAATGTGTGTAGATTTCCTCGCCTTAAATAGAATTACGATTAAAGACAGATATCCTTTGCCGTTAATTGAGGATCATATTGACCGGTTGGGTAAAGGTAAATATTTTACGACCCTTGATATGGCATCAGGGTTAAATCAGATTTGTTTATTGAGAGTATTGACGCCGGTTTACATATCCTAAATAGTGTTCTAAAGACTTTAACGGATGCTGGGTTTTCTTTGAATATGAAAAAGTGTTTCTTTTTGAACACTGAAATAGAGTATTTAGGATGTGTAATCACTAACGGTGAGGTTCGTCCTTCAAAATCTAAAATAACGGCATTAATAAACTCATCTGCGCCTAAAAATGTGCGTCAAGTTAGGCAATTCTTAGGACTTGCGGGCTATTTTAGAAAGTACATAGAGAATTACGCTTTCAAAACCTCATGTTTCTCACGTTTAACTAAAAAGGATGTAGAATTTAATTGGGGTGAAGAACAGGAATGAGCTCGTGCCGATATTATCAAGTGTTTAACTAACGAACCGGTTCTCACTATATTTAACCCTAATTTAAATACAGAGGTCCATACGGACGCCAGCAGTCAAGGATACGGAGCTATTCTAGTTCAAATTCATAGGGATGGTCGTAAGTGTGTAGTGGCCTACTACAGTCAGGTGACTAGTGGAGCGGAAGTACGATATCACTCCTATGAATTAGAAACGTTAGCTGTAGTTAGGGCCTTACGCCATTTTCGTCACTACCTTATTGGCATTGAATTCAAAGTTATTACCGATTGCAATGCTTTAAAAGCTACACAAAATAAGAAGGATCTCTCTCTAGAAGTGGGTTTATTTACAAGATTTTACATTTACCATTGTTTACCGTAAAGGCGTATTAATGCCTCATGCCGATTACCTTAGTCGCAACCCTATTCGTTTTGTAAATAGCATAGACAAACCACGTAATTGGGCGCAAATCGCACAGTCAGGTGACGAAGAAACTTGAAAACTAATTAGTCAATTAGACGATGGACAATTAGACGCTAGTCGGTATGTAAAAAAACAATGACATTCTTCACTACCGGTACTCGCCGGTAGGAGAACAATCACGGCTGTTATGTTATATACTAAAGGGGTATAGGCTTAGCCTACTCAGGGTTTTTCATGATGAACATTGTCATGTGGGGGTAGATAAAACAACAGCGTTGATATTAAAATATTTCTGGTTTCCTGGTCTGCAGACGTTTGTTAAAAAATAGATAGGACATTGTTTAACCTGTATAGCCAATAAAAGGATTCCACGAGCCGTTCTACAGCCTATCACAAAGTGGCCTAAGCCAGATATAGCTTTTCACACCCTCCATATGGATGCTCTCGGTCCCTTGTCAGAGTCCAATGGATATAAACATATTATGGTAGTAGTAGATGCTTTCTCTAAATATTAACTACTGTATCCTATTTATAAACAAGATTTGGATGAGTTAAAACAAGAATTTCAAAATGTTATGTCCTTAGACAGAGGCCGTATGTTTGAATCTGCACGATTTTTTAAGTGGATTGACGATTTAGGATGTTCGATACATCATATCACCCCAGAAATGCATCGTTCTAATGGTCAGGTTAAAAGATATGTTTGCACTCTACTTAATATGTTACGTATAGAGATCAATCATAAGAAAAGTAAATGGTCTGAAGAATTATGGCGTTTACAGCTTGTCCTCAACATTACTCAACAAAAGACCTCGAAAATGGTCGTTATGAGTTGAAATTACTGGCCGGAGCTTATGGCAAAGTGAGTTATGCCGCAGCTCAATTCATGGTATCTTGGAAAGGTGAATGGACGCCTGAAGAATGTGTAGCCTTCTTTGCGAGTAAGTCACTGTAACAGTAGATCTTGTGATTTTAGTGGGTTCTAAGACCTATGGACAGGGTAACCAGCCCCAAACTCATGGTCTTCCTGAGTGAACTTTAAGGCCTATGGACAGGGTAACCAGCCCCGAACTCGTGGACTCGACACTTGACTGGAGAGCACAAGTCACCCACGTCAGCCAGCAAGTCACTACATGTCTTCGCGCCTTATATCGTCTCAAGAATTTTCTTCCTACTAAAACCAAGACTACGCTTATGCAGTCCCTTATTACTCCCTTAATCGATTATGGTGATGTGTGTTATCTTGACCTGAATGCAGACCTCCTCAATAAACTAGACCGACTTTTTAATAACTGCATTCGATTTGTTTTTAATCTTCGCAAGTATGACCATGTGTCTGCTTTATGTTCCCAACTGAAATGGCTCTCGATTCGTCAACGCCGCAGTCTGCGCGTGACAAGATATACTTATTTTGTAAACAATTATTAATTTAAAAACCTATTTTTATTTTGTGTTATTTGCACTTATGAACTTTAAATTATTTTTATATGAATATTGCTAACGGAAGTTGTACTGATTAATTTTTTATTTATTTTAAACTACTAATATGGTAGGGTAAAACGTGGGCAGTTGAGTTGTGTGGCAGCTACGGAACGGTACATCGATACATAAGTTAAGTGCAGTTGTATTTATTTGCTATATAAGTTATTTTTATGGTAAACAGGCATTGACATTAGTATAATGTATAAAGTTAGTGTTTGTTGTACCTAAGGAGTAAATATATAAATAGCAATGTTATTGGTATTAAATTGATTAGTTATATAAATTATTAATAATGCTAGTAGTTGTTATGATAATAAATAATAGTAAATTTAAATTTTAATTATAACATCGTTCATTTCGAGAAGCTAAAATAATTACTTTAAAACATTTAATAATTAATAATCAAAACTACTTACATATATTTATTTATTAATAAATTTCTAGTTTAAATTCATTCTTGACTTTCAGTATTTATTCCTTGACTTTTATCCCAACTGTGGGTATATTAACAAAAATCTAACATCAGAAGTGGGATGTTTCCAGCTCCTAGTAATAAAAATTTTATTTTAGGATTGATTCTGAAGTGATCAGTGAACTCCTCAAGGCGATCCGGGACGCTGTCTCTACAACACATCAGAAGGATGATGACATCGCTCTGACACTATTTGACCCAGATAAAAACGACTGTGGAGCTAAGAACTGGTGCTGCAGTATCGAGACACTTGCATCGGAATTGAAGTGGAGCAGTATAAAGACTGCAGCTAAAGCTGGTAAGGCCCTGAAGGGTTCTGCCTTGACGTGGTTCGAATCATGGGAACCTTCGGAAGGCAGATCCTGGGAAAAATTTCGTGCTGATATCATCGATGCCTTTCCTGAAAGGAACAACTTGTCCGAAAAACTCAGTAAGGCAGTATTATATAATTCAGACTCCGCGGACTCTTACGGAGAATATGCGAAAGAAAAACTGAGGTTATTTCGGAACACTAAAATCGCCTTCACCGATGAACAATTGATCGAATTAATTTTTGGGGGTATTAGTGATGTTGATGTAAGGATGGCCTCTCTAAATAGTGGCGTAACTACAACTGCTGCTCTTATCTCTCTTCTTTCAATATACGTAAAAACCAAAAAGAGATCCTTAGAAAACACTGATTCGGTGTTGCTTTTGATGAAAAATTGACTTTTCGCGAACATTATAATAATATACTTAGCAAAGCTTCGAGCCTTCTGGGATTCATATTGAGAGTCACGAAGGAGTTCAGGAAGGCTCGTAGTCTTCTCCTCCTTTTTAATGCACTCATTCGCACTGTACTAGAGTACAATTCACCTGTCTGGTCTCCTTACTATGCTGTCAATAGAATGTATCCAAAGGAAGTGCCTCAGAATATTGTGCTTCAGATACAACGTTGGCCGGGATGTTTGCTCTTATGAAGACAGATTAGAAAAGTTTAAGTTGCTCTCCCTTGAATCCCGCCGCAAGTGTCATGATCTGCTATGTCTTCATAAGATCATACATTCCGTTGTTGACTGTCCTGACTTGCTTTCCCAAATAAATTTTAACACGAGATTTAGGTCACGTCAGCGTCACTACCGAAGCTTCACTTTGAATGTGCATCTAAATAATACTTCTTTTTATAATCCCATTGTTAGAATGTATCGTCTCTATAATGAATTACTACCCCAACATTTGGACACCCTTGACATATTTAATACCAAATTTAAAAATAATGTTACGCATATTATGTCATCAACGTTGGTCTGATATGTTAAACATCTTATACATTTTAAATACGTTTCAAATTTTATACTTATTTTTATTTTTATGTTAATACTTAGCTCTTTAGGTTGCATGTAATCTCATCTTGTATCACCTACATTGCCATGTTGTGTACACATATTTAGGAACATAGCTAAGACCGAAACTGTTTGTGTTAGCTATCTATAAGACTAAGCTTTGTGTTATGTTCTGTTTTGTGTGCCTCAATAAATAAATAAATAAATTCGGGCCCATCATCAGCAAAACGCCCAAAGCTCAACGGCGAAAGGAAATGTTTTGCTTGTAACCAAGTCGGCCATTTGCAATCTCAGTGTCCAAAAAGTAAGTCAGGTCACTCTTCTTCAAGGATTCTTAATCAAACTCCACAATTCCCTAAACCTACTGAATTTCGTACGAAAATCTGTACTTATTGCAAAAGGGTTGGCCATACCAAGGCAGTTTGCTATTATAAGCAGCGAGCAGAATCATCCAGCGCTGCTTCAATAACTGTCGTCCCTACTAAGGAAGTCAATTTTTTAGAAAAGCCGAACTAAATCTGACACGTGTTTTTATTAATGGTATACCCATTGATTCCCTTATAGATACAGGAGCAAATTGTAGTTTAATAAAAGAATCAATTGCAAAACGACTCGGATGCCATTTTTCACCAATATCCATGTATTTAAGAGGAATAGGACTTAATAAAGTTCATGCTTTTGTTATAATTACTGTGGTCATTCAATGTGAAGGTGTTAGTATAGAACTTGATGTACATGTTGTCAGGGATTATGATTTTCATTATAATCTACTCATAGGTAGAAACGCTGTCAAGTACCCAGATATAGAGATTATCACCGATTCTTTAGGAAGCCGTTTCTCTAGAAAGGCGGTTGAAACCAAGGCAGAAGTAAACATATGTACTACTTCGACCGAATTAAGTGAATTAACTTCTAAAATCAAACATTTAGATTTAGCATTACAAGAAAGAATAAAAAATATTTTTACAAAATACCCTTCTGTCTTGGATGAAACCAGTACTGTGAAAACCGGCGAATTAAGATTAAGTTTGGTTAAAAATGAGATAGTTAACTACCATCCATATCGCCTAGCACCGATAGAGAGAGAGAAGGTTAATAAAATTGTTCAAGACCTTTTGAAACAAAACATAATCCGTGAAAGTGACTCCTCTTTTGCAAATCCGGTAATTTTAGTAAAGAAAAAAGATGGCAGCGATAGATTATGTGTTGATTATCGATCATGAAATAAAATTGTAGAAAAGGATAGATACCCACTCCCTCTCATTGAAGACCAAATAGACAGGCTAGGTAAAGCAAAATTCTTTATTTCTATGGATATGAAAAATGGTTTTTACCAAATTCCCATTTCATCAGACTCTATAAAATACACGGCTTTTGTTACACCGGATGGCCATTACGAATTTCTGAAAATGCCATTTGGTATTTGTAATGGACCGTCTGTGTTTCAAAGAGCCATCACAAAAGCTGTTCATCACTTAAAGTTTATTTTAGTATACATAGATGATATTCTTATTCCTTTTTTAACCATAGAGGAGGGTCTTCAATATTTAGAGCTGACTATTCAGGCTTTATGCAATTCAGGATTTACTATAAATCTAAAAAAGTGTAAGTTTTTTGTTGAAAGCATTGAGTATCTAGGTCGAACTATATCACAAGATGGAGTGAGACCCAGTGAGACAAAGGTGACCGCCCTAGTAAATTCTCCCATCCCTAGTAACGTAAAACAGGTACGTCAGTTTATGGGTCTTGCAAGTTACTTCCGCAAATTCATTCCGGCTTTTGCTACTCGCACATCTTGTATTACCAATTTGACCAAAATAACACAAAATGGGAATGGGGTCCCAAACAGGATGCGGTTAGGAATTATGTTATAAGACATTTGTCCACGAAACCCTTGCTTACTGTTTTCGATCCAAAATTGCAGACAGAACTTTACACTGATGCGAGTTCATTAGGATATGGAGCAATACTAGTACAAAGAGAAGAAAATGTCAAGAAAGTCGTAGCCTACTTTAGTAAAAGAACTTCACCCGCAGAGTCTAAGTATAGCTCTTATGATTTGGAAACTTTAGCAATCTACAACGCATTAAAGCATTTTAGAGTATATCTATTAGGTCTTAAATTTAAAATTTTTTACCGATTGCAATTCCATCAAAGCTACAATGAACAAAAAGGATCTAACTCCTCGTGTTGCCCGTTGGTGGACATTTTTACAAGATTTCGAGTTTGAAATTATATATAAAAAGGGTAAATATATAGGCCACGTCGATTTTCTCAGCCGCAATCCTGTAGAGTCCCTCATTACTGTCAGCCCAACGATTACTGGTATCAAACTCTCTAACACACCAATCTGAAATAATTTCGGAAAACGCCACATCCTTAAATGATTCCAAAGTGTATATAAACAAGTTTGTCTGATAGAGAACCCCCAGTCTTGGTTAGAAGTTGCTCAGCAAAATGACCCGGAAACACAACATTTGATTAGTCAGGTCATATCTGGTGAACTTGATGAAAATAGATATTTTTTACGGGACAATTTGTTATTCTATAGAGTTCAAATTTAACGGATCAAAGTTGTATGTACCCAAAGGGTTCAGATTCCGCCTAGTAAGACTTTTTCACGATGAAAACTGTCATGTGGGGTTTGATAAAACACTGAAAAAAAATTCTGAACACTTTTGGTTCCCTTCGCATGGCAGCTTTTGTCAAAAAATATTTAAAACACTGTTTAATATGTATCGAGCGTAAAGGTCACTCGGGTCCAAAACAAGGATTTTTACATCCCCTTAATAAAATTCCTATCCCATTTCACACAATTCATCTAGATTGTACAGGCCCGTTCCTCACAAACAAACGAAGGTACAAATATATCTTACTCATTTTGGATGGATTCACTAAGTTCTGCTTGATAAAGGCCTCTCAAGACTCTCAATGCCCAAGAGCTAGTGCCTCTTATACGTGACACCATAACTCTATTTGGCACTCCGTCAAAAGTGTTAACTGACAGGGGTACAAATTTTAATAGCAATTAAATTCGATCCTTATTTAGAGAGCTTAAAATAGAGCATCATATGGTTGCCACGGGCACGCCAAGAGGTAATGGTCAAGCAGAGAGGTACGTAGCGACAGTAATTGATATGTTGAATACCACTTGTAACGGCTCGTCAGATTGGCCAAGCGGGTTGTGGAAAGTCCAACAATCAATTAACACCACTGTCCAAAAATCTACGGGTTTTACACCGATTCGTTTGCTCGTTGGTTGTAATGCAAATATCCCCTGTATTCAAGCACATTTGAATGATGTTCCCATACCTGAATGTAATATAGACCTAAGGGCAGATCGTGAACTAGCTTATCAGCGTTTATGTCAAGAGGCAAATAAATTCAAAACTCGATTTGACATTGTTAGACGAGACAATAAGGTTTTTGAGATTGGCAATATAGTATATGTAAATCAAGATCATCGGAGGCATGATAAACTGAGTCCCAGATTCAAGGGACCATATGAAATAACTGCTATCCTCCCCAATGATAGATATTCACTTAGAGGGATTCGTAATTTAAGGAACATTACTGTAGCTAAAGATAAATTGCGGCTATGGCCAGGTGAATGGGTTGACGAAGATGTAGTGCCTAACAACGATTAACTTTCTTATGTATTTTCTTATTGTTGAATATTATTAATATTGATTTGGACTCCAAAATTTTCCTCTATGTATATTGATATCCTAAGGAAATATGTACCTTTACGATGTAATTGAGGTGAACTGATTGAGTTGAATTGCTGAAGTCTTTTGCTTTGTTCTAGCCTGTCTCATGTGCAGTAGGTGTGAGGCTAGATGATATTGTTGTCAAAGCAGCTGACCGTTGTTATAGTCTTCTTAATGTGAAAAGAAACTATAACAATGACAAAATGTATTAGTTTTAAACATTATTATTAATGTTATTTTTATAATTAATAATGTTAGTAGTATTTTGTACTTCGAGAACGAAGCACAAGTCAGTATGGTCGTGACAAGATATACTTATTTTGTATACAATTATTAATTTAAAAACCTATTTTTATTTTGTGTTATTTGCACTTATGAACTTTAAATTATTTTTATATGAATATTGCTAACGGAAGTTGTACTGATTGATTTTTTATTTATTTCAAACTACTAATATCGTAGGGTAAAACGTGGGTGTGTTACAGCTTAAAGCTAAAAACACCGCCCCGGGACCCGATGGCATTCCTGGCCGAGCGTGGGTCCTGGCCTTAGTCGACGAGGCTCTCGAGCCCCGACTGCGAGGGTTCTTCAGCGCATGCCTCGAGCGGGGCCAGTTTCCGAAATTATGGAGGACGGGGAAACTGGTCCTCATCCGAAAGGAGGGGCGCCCAGCGGA